CCTCCCTGTTCCTCACAGTACTACCTAAAACTAAATCATTTGACTAAGGGCATCATCCAGATGCTCCTTGAACTCTGACAGGCTTGGTGCTGTGAGCACCCTGAGGAGCCTGTTCCAGTGACTGACCACCCCCTCAGTGAAGAGCCTTTTCCTAATGTCCAATGATGCTTTATGGAAAGGATGTGGAAATGAAGCTACCCCCAGACCTCTGGCATCGAAATATCAAGTCAAATGTATTGTACTCTTCAATTAAAGTCCTTGACATGTAAAACCATTTTGCTTTGTGTATCTAATTACCATTCTTGACTGGTGGTGGTTGAAGCAGAGCTTTAAAATGTCAGGCAGTTGGCAGGGTTTGTTCGGGGCTTTGGGTTTTGTGTTTCTTTGTTTTCCATGAGATGCTCAGTTGCAGTAATTGTGTTATGCAGTCAGAAAAGCCTGGCTCAGAGGAAGGTAATTATCGGTGTGTATATTTTAGTAATAACAATTAGAGAGCCAGGGAACAAAAATGAGACAGGAGAAAGAACATATTACTAAAATGCTCACGTACTTTAAAGCTTGTTGCTTTACTGGCATACAATTGCGCCTAGTATCTCCCAGGCACCTATGTCTGGTGGTACAACCTGTGTACTTTTCTACAGGCAACATTGAGGCGATTAATGGAAATGAAAGAAGAAATAGTGATTTTTGCTGTAGTACGACGTGCATGGAAGGTGTTAACTCTTTTTGTGATTTGAGGTTCTTAAGAGAAAGACCCATTGGAGAGAAAACTAGAGCACAGTTCTTTGGTGGTGGTGTTATAGCAATACCTTGCTATTTTAATTAGGAACACAGTGTGCTCGGTTCTACCCAGGTCTGAGTTAAAAGGCAGTTCCAACCCCACCTTGCTTAAGACATAACACAGTAGATAGGTAAAAGAGCAGACAGGTACATCAGGAGAAGGAGTGAGCAGAAGATGACATCCATCTGGCCAAAAGCATCAGCTGAAGAGGTGGGCTGGCAGGGCAATAGGTCGGCTTGGGAAAGGTAAAAGCAGTGGGTACAGTGACCTTGCATAGGTATGTCTGATCATGTGTAGATTTCTGGACCTACTTACACTATAAATGTCTCTTCTGGAACATTCTGTGCTGGCCACTATATGACAGGCTCCTGAAGTAGATTAGGCACTGATTTCTCCTGGCATGGTAGTTTCTACCCCTAAGAAAAAGGGCCCAGTAACCTGAGCAGACAAGTTTCTGGAGCTCCAGCTATTGCCTTTGACTTGAGGGGGCTTTAGATCTATCTGCCCATGCCAGTGCTACCATCAGAAAGATACTCCCTGTAGCACACTGCCAAAAGCACACTGCTTCTAAAGCTGACAGCTTATGCTGTCATCAGCTTGGGCCCCTTGCAGTTTAAGGGGATCTCAGACAAGATGCAGTGATAGCAAGTAAAGGGTGAACACATGCCTATAGAAAGGTAGACTGCCAACTTTGTACATCCTGTCCTAAACAATTTAACACTTGTAGCAAACAGCTGCTGCCTGGAAATGGCAGTAGGTGACATGAGCTTTGTGTTCACAGTCCTGAAGTACCACAGGCACCTTGTAGATGAGAGGCTCCATATATCAAATGTAACTTACCATTATGCTCCAAGCTGCTTGGAAGATTACTTGGACAAAAGGAGGTGGAGGCATAGCAGAGATGACAGAATTACAAAATCATATGGCAAAAGAAATCTAGCATGACCATGCAAGATGCCCTAAGCTTGGAGAACCAGCCAACACAAGGGGACAAATAAAGCTCACAGGCTTCTAGCCCTGCTGGAATAAAAGAACATTTCTGAATAAAGACACAATTTCTTCCCCAGGATTTTTCGGAGCCATGTTTCTCTAAAGTAGTCAAGGAATTTGCTGTACTGTGTGCTTTGGATGGAAAGGAAAGCTTGGAGGCACTTAGTGAATGCTGAGGCACAAGACCAGACCTAAATCTAGCTCAGATCTGGGAAAGATAAAGCAGCATACTGGTTTTATTTCTGTCACGGTGATGTTATAGGGATTGCAATCAGGACTGTTTTACAAAGAGCTGGATGCACAAAGCTCTGGCCCTAAGGAGAGTTCTGCCTTGCCAGGCAAAAACTGGAAGGAGAAAGGGAGATAAGGGGAGATGCTTTGGGGAGAAAATCAAGTCAGTAGCACGAAGGGAGGTGTTTCAGTGCATTTGGATCTCATTGCTTCTCACATGTGGGCAGGCAGCAGATAAAAGCTGAATGAAGACTTCAAACAAGACAGTCCAAGATAGGTATGATTTAGACAAACCTTTGCTTCCCCAAAACTGTTCTATCCCCCAGACTATACATATTAAAGATTAACGTCAAGCTAAAGCAGAGAAAAGTGGCATAAACTCTCACTAGAGGGAAGCAGCAGAAACATCAGGGGAAAGAACTAAGCTAGACACAGGAGGTAAACAAGAAAGAACCAGGAGGGATGAAAACTGAAGCAGGCACTCATCTTTGTATAGATTTGTTTCAGCAATAGGTAAAAATCAGGCTAAAAAATAGCACTGTCCTCTGTATGTGGTCAGACTTTATCAGATCATCCAGGCAATAAATTGAATCAGGAAACTCTTCTTGACTTACACAGAAATAAACCTTTAACAGCTTCTCTATGTAATTAAGCAGCTTTCAGACCTGCAACTGCACATAAAATCTAGCAGCCCAAATCTTCATCTGTTGCAAATTAGAAATCACCTTTATTTTTAACAAACCTGTCCTGATTTATGCAAAAGCATGGATCTTGCCTACCCAGCTTTAGCCTATGCTTAAGTGATTTAGGACCATGGTGGAAAAGTACCTATGGATCCCAAGATGGAAAATTTTAGACACTTCTAATTCTTGACTATCTCACTGTTAAAATGAGTATGATATCAACAGGCAGATCTACCCTGTTTGAAAATGTCAGCTCATTTTGCCCAACACTTCAACTCACAGTCTGAACGCTTGTTAAATGACTTGGATAATTTTCAGCTGTCCTTCATTTATCTAGTACATATAGATCTTCCCATCAGCATCTCACCCCTAGGTTTAAACACCCTTGTACTTACAAATGAAGCTGTTTAGGAAAAGTAAATCATCAGTACTGAACATATACTGCTCCCTTCCAAAACTCAGACCAAATGTAGCAGTGTCCTCCAAGGTCCCTATTCTCAACACAAACTGATTGTCTTCAATATACAAGCAGCTGCACCCCAACAGTAGCTATGCTGGTTTTCTTCTTTTTAAGCACTCAAGTTTGCAATTTATCTTCCACTCAGCTGTGCTATAACCTTCAGGCTGTCCAAATCTTAAAAGACAAAAGAATGAGTCTACTTCCAGCTCCAAGTTTAATAGACAACATTTTATGTGTCTTGCCTTTGGGTGGGTTTTCTTTCTTACCCAAGCAGAAGCTAAACCCTGAGGAATGATTTCTCAAAGCAATACTTTTCAGTTCTTTCTGAAGAGGTAAATAACTAATCACATCAAAGCCTAGAGCACATTGGAGAAGTTATTTCACACCTGATCCCAGACAGGTTGTCTGCGTGGTCTGGCACTGAGCTAAGCAGATTAACAATGGCACTTTATTAAATGGCAAGCAATGGGATATGGACTTCTTTATGACATATTAATAATGAAAATACAATGCTGGCCAAAAGCCAGGATTTAGGGCTCTGATTGGAGCAAAGAAAGGGCCAGAAGCATAGAAACAGCTCAGCAGATGTGCATTGCCTGAAGCCCTCCCTTGAGGACCTTCTCATGCTAGTGAGTATAATTTACAACACAAAGCATAGGATCTTGCTATGATACAGCCCTACTCCAGAAGCATTACAGTCCAGGTACATAACAGAAGGGACAGAAAAGCATCATCTCCTCTACCTCACAGTTAAGAGAAAATACACTCAGAAATGTTGCAGTAGAAACAAGGACCACATCCAGGACACTTGTTCCTTTCCACTGCCTGAACTCAGAGACCTCCCCAGGTTTAATTTTTCACTCTGGGGCATTAGTTTTTCTATGAAGGTTTAGGGAAACCACCTCCTGTCTGGCACCTCTGCTTCCCTCCACTCCAGAATGATGTCCTCTAACAAGGGTATTACTCATAGATGAGTTGGTACTTTGAGTGCAGTGTTAATGACTGAAACTATGAATATAAATTAATTCTATTGTGCATTTAGGAGCATGGAATAAGCCACTGGTATGGAGAGGCCATATGTACCAGCAGAAACAAAACCCTGGGCAGAGTTCATCTCAGACTGATTTTCCTATTGATCGAGTGAAATAGAGTTGCCTCATCCTCAGATGTCTAAAATAAGTCTGCTGAATCATGGTCTTTAAGGGTCTTTAGTAACAAAATACTTCCTTTATTCATCTAGGCTTCACTCTCTTCCAACATCCTTTGTTACTTAGGGAAGGGCCGTGGTACAACCTGGCACTCGGGTCTCTGCAGGGCTCAGTCTTAGCTCAAAATCTCCAAGCAGCCTTCAAAACCAAGGGTTGCATCTACAGAGCGAGTAGCACGGGTGCCAGGAAAATGTGGAGAAAAGGAAGCAGGGCACTGACAAATCACCTCTTGTTTCTGCAATTGGAAAGATTCTCAGAATCAGTTGGATTTTTCATCTCTCTCCCCCCTCACCTTGCAAGTTCCTCTTATGGGGCCATTTGTTCTAAAACAAAGACTGCAAATGACACAGTAGCTGGAATGCCATGAGTATGTATGGTCAGCGTGCCTTGTCTCTCCTTATTTTCTCCATGCTCAGTTTGCCTTGCAAGCAATTCTCCTTTTACATCACAAGAATCACTTGTCAGCCTATGAACAAGTGCTTGTTAGCTGGCTTCCACCTTCTGATCCCTGCAGGAACTGGTGATCAGCATGGAAACAACACTTAAATCACCACTTGTGATGAAATGGAGTGCTCTTGCTTTCTGAGCAATACGGGACTGGCAGGGGATTACGGTAATGGCAAGGATACTGCCTGCTACATCAGCAGAGCAGTAAAGTTACTGCTGCTCCTTGACAGCGTGGAGCTGAGCACTGCAACAGGGGAGGGATGCCTTGAGGGATGCTGGAGTCAAGTCCCCCCAAACACTGGGTGCAACTGTAAGCTATCAAAATGCTAGTGGGGAAATAACAGGAGAAAAGCAATGGATTTCCAGGCACAGAGTCCTCTCCCTGCATGAAGAGAGGAGCTGGCTGTGATGTGCTGTGAATTTCCAGATGCTCAGAGGAGCTGTGCTGCCTTCTAGAGACTAAAGAGGTGAGTGAGGACTGGGGCAGGCACGGGAATCCAGGGCACGCTCTTCCCCAGACCATCTGCCACAGGTTGGGTATTATCTAGTTGGTTTTGAGCATGAATATCTCTGTCAGTGCTTTCTGCTGCATGTCCTTGACTTCCCAGGAAGTTTTGCTTCATGTGCTTAAAAATCAAATGTGATAATTTCTTAATTTTCTAGTCCACCATCAACTCTCTAACGACCACGGTTGTAATGGTTGGAAATGCTCCATGCTCCAGTCACTTTTCACTGATGTGCTCAGTAAAATCTGTCCTTTTCTTCCTCGGAATAATCCTTCAGTTCGCTCCATCTCGATGGAAAGAGAACATCAGATCCAATTCTGTTTCACTGCAAATTCCCACAGTGCAATACCTTTTCATATCTCCTCCCCTATCTGCCCTGCTTGGGAGCTGGGAATTTCAGGGATTCAGAGTTTTCAATGCCTTTGCCTACAGGAAAGTTCAGGTTTGAGGTTCAGCAATGTGACAGTTGTTGCTGATCTGTTTGTGTAAAGTGCCATCTGAGGGACTCATCTGAAAGACCGAATATTAGGACATTTTGAGTCTCACCTTATCTCAGATTTAAGACTACTCAGGGGTAGTTTTTCACATGTCTGGTCAATATCTGGGATGGGAATATTATATTCACATCTAGAAGGGCTTTTCAGCCCACACATGTGGCTTTCCCTTTGTGTCCCCAGTGTCTCAGTTCCCAGGCTTATCCTCACTTTTCCATCTGATCTACCTTTTCTCCATATTTAGTCAGCTAAGGCTGAGCGTGGCTTCCAGATACTCTGAAACGTGTCACTCAGTAGGAAACTTGCTCCTTGTAACATCTTCTGCTCGGCAGGAATTGCTTTTCCCTATAGATCTCTAAAATGGGCAGTTTAGCAGCAGTAATGAGCAGTTCAGTGGGGAAAGGAGTCACTTAATAAAGACACCGTAGACTAAATTCTGGACTCCTAAATCTGCTTCACAGTTTGTAAGCCTTGAATTGTGTCCCACAGGTTTCTGTCTCTCCTAGAACCGGTCTCTGCAGGTGAACTGATAATTAGGATTGACTGCTACCCCTAAAGGAGAAAGGGCTGCTGCTGGGAATGTGGTGAGAAAATTCAGCCAATAAAATTGACATTGGTCTCAGCTGTTCTTCAACAATACTGGGCTGAAAAAGGTTGGTTCAGCTAGCTGGAGCCAGCCTGAGAAGGCTCCCTAAAATAGCCTCCCGCTCTATTCTTATATGGGAACCATAGCAGTAAGCGACTGCTGCTTCTGGGAATCATATTGTTTGTGTCTTTGTCTCCTTCAGGGGGGTGATGATCCGCATCCTTGACACAGCAAACTTCACTCTCCCCTTCAGAGCAAGCCAGAAGCTGACATAAACTTTAATTCGCAGCCCAGGACCTCAAGTGACAAGTGCTCTGCAGCACAGAGAAGCTTTGATTGATGCTTCACACCCTGAAGATGGGTAGTGGCAGGTATCTCAAACAACATTGCTGAACACAGCAGCAGAAGCCTCCACCTAGCCAGGTTCCTAAGCTGATTGTAAGGCAGAATTAGGACTAACACAAGGAAATTAAAAGCATCAGTGATTCCCTCTTGAAACTTTAATTTGAGAGCCTTTGGATTATTTATGTTACTTCAGTAGTGAATCTTCCCAATAAGACAGAAATGATTTTAACCTGCCATTCCAATATTTCTTCTCTCAAAATTCTGGAAAGTGGGATAAACAGCCTCAGCTTTGTGTAGCCTCACTTCTGCACCTCAATGAAAATGCAAAAGGAGTTCAATTTGACTTGGAAATGGTGGCTATTAACTGTGCTATAATGGTAAAAACTGAGGGAGAAAGGTAGATTTTCTAACATGTTTCTGGATCCTTCTCATTCCTGGTGCTGCACTTCTAAGATGTTCTTAAAAACTCTTTCCCCCTGCAAAGCCAAGCAGACGCTGCTCGTGGGACCTTCTGAGAACTGATCTCACCACTCTTTCTACCTGAAAAGGGAGTGAAATACAACAGCCTCGTATGAACGTTATCAACCACTCACCATGGCTTTCCTCCCTGGAAACTCCTCCGACTGCTCCAACTGCACCCACTCTGTGGGGCCTGTGAACGTTACAAAGGCCATTTTATTAGGTGTTATTCTAGGGGGGCTGATTGTTTTTGGGGTTTTGGGTAATATTCTGGTGATTCTCTCTGTAGCCTGCCATAGACACCTTCACAGTGTTACCCACTATTATATCATTAACCTGGCTATAGCTGACCTCCTCTTGACTTCCACCGTCCTGCCCTTCTCAGCTACTATGGAGATTTTGGGCTACTGGGTCTTTGGGAGGATCTTCTGCAACATCTGGGCAGCTGTTGATGTCCTGTGCTGCACTGCTTCCATTATGAGCCTCTGTATCATCTCGATCGACAGATACATCGGGGTGAGCTACCCACTGAGATACCCAAGTATAGTGACAGAGAAGAGGGGTCTCCTGGCATTACTGTGTGTTTGGGCATTGTCCCTGGTGATATCGATTGGACCTCTTTTTGGCTGGAAGGAACCAGCACCAGAAGATGAGACCATCTGTCAAATCACTGAGGAGCCTGGCTACGTGTTATTCTCTGCTCTAGGCTCCTTCTACCTCCCCCTGACTATTATCTTGGTGATGTATTGCCGAGTGTATGTAGTGGCCAAAAGGGAAAACAAAGGGCTCACTTCTGGTCTGAAGACAGAGCGATCTCGTTCTGAAGAAGTCACCCTACGGATCCATCGCAAAAATGCTCCTGAAGCAAGCGGATCAGCATCCAACCCCAAGAGCAAGCATCACTTCTCAGTGCGTCTCCTCAAGTTCTCCAGGGAAAAGAAAGCTGCCAAGACCCTGGGAATAGTGGTGGGATGCTTCGTGCTCTGCTGGCTTCCATTTTTTGTAGTAATGCCTCTTGGTAAGTAAAGCAAAGCCCTCTGCCTTTTTCAGCACCTTCCATGGAGGGAGGGCTGTGTTTGTGCCTGTGTACAATAACACAGATTGGAAAAGCTCTGAGGGAATCATTCGCTATTGCAAAGCTGTCAGAATCAGAACATGCACCTTCACAAAGCAGTGAGCGTAAAAATGAAAGTCTCAAAAGAAACAAAACTTTTCTGGTGAGGAGAAGCACAGAATTCTAAAAATAATGGGGAGGATTTAGTACTCTTTTTCCATATAGAAAACACTCTCTCAGAACTCCAACTGTGATTCTAACCAGCTCTGTTATAGGAACAATATCTTTAGATATGTGTGTGTTTATACCTGTTTATACCTAAGTTTGCAACCATTTCTTCTGGTGATATGAATACATAAAAGGTCAAGGTATAAATGCATTCAGGGTCAAAGTAGCTTGGACCCAGACCTCCTGGAGTGCTCAGCACCTAATAATTCCCACTATAAGGAAAAAAAATGAGTTTCCTACCAGGAAATCCACACTGTGAGATACCCTATTCCAAATGAATACACCCAAACACTGTCTTCAACCATCACGCTGAGCATGAATATTTATGCAGCAGTTGTAATTCTAAAGCGGAGGGAAGTTGGGGATTTGTTCTGCTTTGCTGAAATACAGACTAGTAATTAGGATTTTAATTAAACCTGGCTCAGTCACCTTTAACGCCATTTCGGGTTTTAAAAGCAGAATCCTAATTCCACACCTACAGCTGAGTGTGAAGTCTGTGGCACATCCCACCATGGTTTGCTCTGCAACAGCTCTGCTAAATATTAGGCTTGGAAACATGGAACCTCAAATGTGTGACTTGCTTAGTTTTCTTATGGAAAGGGCTTATGCTGTACAGGAAAAATGAAGTAAGATTGTGTGGAAGTTTTAGCTAGTACAGAATAATGTGCACAATCAAGACAAAGGAAAACCAGCCTTACCTAAACATGAAAAGAAAGATCTGGGGATTTTCTTGTCCTTTCATCTTATAAAAAGCTGTTCTTTATCAATTAACCTCTACTGGATTGACCAGGATTACCAGGTTGCTCCACAAAACCCTGTTGTTAATATTGCCATGTGAAAAACCCCAAAATACAGAATCTTTCCTGTTGGTCAATACTGGGAAGTGCTGGAGGATGAGAGGTAGATGTTTTGTAAGAGGGAGCTCTGAAAGGCCTGGCTCATGCTGTCCAGGATGTCAGCGTGTTGGAATGCTGGTTGCCAAGATGTCTGAAACATACCCAAAAAGGGTTTGTGAGGACGCATTTAACACACTTCTTTTCATCTGCAAACGTAGTTGCCCACACATAGCTGTTATTATTTGCTTTGGGATTCACAGATTTTCTGGACTCAAGAGTGGTTTTGCATCTTTCTTTGATCCCTTATAAGGAAGCTTTCTTGAGGTTAGCTCCCCTATCTTTGTGGGGTTATTGGGTTATTTTTAAAGCATCTATATAGTTTTTCAAACCCTATTTTTACTGCTTTTGTTTAAACTATTAAGCAGACAATTGCCACAAAAGAACACCTCTTTAGAAAGAACCAAGCCTTGAGGCAGGCTGTCCCACCCAGAGCCAGCGATTCATCCAGAGATGATTGCATATGGCACTGTGGGCAACAAGAACTCTGTTGTGCAGAAGGCCAGGTCTGCAGCTTCACAGCCATGGGGCAGACCTATAAATGGTCCCATCAGCCAGGCCACTCTGAAAGAAGCTTGCCCATGAGCCAAACATTCTCAAACTATGCTACACAAACCACTTCATAGACTGCCAGGTGCTCATCACTCTGTACAACAAAAGCTCCCGAAACATAGGTTTATGTTACTGTGATCCACAGCATCTTCAAGATCCTCACATCTATTAACATCAGCTCTACCCAACAAGAACCACATTATGACAAGAAAACACCAGGTTTGCTAAAGCATGTAATAAAAGGGGATAGAAACTTCTGAGGAGTAGGTATGGGAAGAGCAGGAGTGATAGAAGGATATCAAGAGCGGAATAAAGGCACGATATCTATATTTCCAACAGCATCTGCCAATAACTTGAGAAAAAACTTGAATATTCCTACCCCAAGACAATATCTTAATTAAAATTGGTGTGTAAAGGTGCCAGCTGCAATCTGTGTAAGTAATGCTTCTCTTACCTTCTTGGATGGAGTCTCATTCCAGGCAAAGGGTCTGTGCTTTCAGTCAGTGTAATAGTCCAATACACCTTCTTTTCACTTTGCTTTGAGGTTTGTGGAGTAAGCCAGGGAATGACAATCCTGTTGCATGAAAATAAGTGAGGTTGAGATTTGTTTTTTCTCTGCATGCTGGAGCAGAAACCCACCCTTTACAAAGCTTCTGTAACGTAACAGTGTCAAAACAGCTGATTTCCCCTCAAAGAAGTCACTTTTTCATTTCAGAATGTACTTTCCCTCTTTAGAGATAAGCAGATCTGCTCCTAGGATCTTAACAAAACCTTAGGATCAATTGGGATCTTAAAGCCTCAGAAGCAAACTAAGAACTTTGCTTGCTGTCCACTTTCTGTGGCGAGCTATCTTAAATCTGTCTGGTTGTAGATGTTGTTCCCTCAGCATAATCATGGCTGGGTTGTCCAGATCCTCAGGGAAACAAGGATCTGAATCCCTTGTCTTTACGTTGCTCATCTGATACTAATATAATAAAATCAAATGAATAAAGGCTGTGACAACCTAATACTCAACTCAGCTTTCATATCAGACAAGGCCAAAATCCAGCCATGGAGGAAATGTTCAGAGCTAAAGTGTAGATTCCCCATGTTAGCATTTCAGAGAGAAAAAAGAAGCAAGGGTGGGGGGGATACACCAAACCCAGACTAAAGCCCCAGCTCATTCTTTGGAGCACAAGTCAAGGAGAAGAAGGATGTTTACACTCCTTGAGTCTTGGAGCACAAGTGTGTGTGTTAAGCCATTGAATGAGGAGAAAATAAACCATGAAGATAAACAGCCAAGATATTCCCTCTTTTGTGCCAATCACAAGGGGCTTTTTTCATAAACACAGACTGGAAAGGCTTTGCTGGTCTAGGTTGATAACTCAGCTACACTGAAGCCAATGGCAAAGATCCCACTGACATCCCTGTGGCCAACATTTCTCCACCATTACCGAGTCCTGAAACGTTGTGTCCCACTGACTCATAACACAGCAGAGCAACGGAAGGAATTGGTGATATTTATAGCCATTTACACTGAAAACAAGAGAGAGAAAGTGGAGTCGGTTCTGCTGTGCTTCATGATTCACTTCTGTGGCTGTCCTCCATGCACCACCTGTCAGAGGTTTGTCCTCGTGTTCAGAATATTCCTGCTTTGTGTAGCCACCACTTTCATATCCCTGGAGTAAATGAACCAAGAATGTCATTTTTCATTCTTAAATGACATGGCACCATTTAGGATTCGTGAATGATTGAAAGGTGAGAAGGGAGCCTCCAACCCAACCCAGCAAAGGTCAGGATTTGTCTTCAATTGGAGACAGAAGGGAGAGAGACTCAGTTTTTGCTGAAGATAATTCCTGTATTGCTAACCCCAAGGATCCCAAAATCACGACAACCACATACCAACAAAGTGGTGGGACAGGCTGAGGCAGACTCATCTTTTTGTTCTCTGAACTTGTTGGATTTTTGGTCTACTTTTTCAAGGAAAGCTCAGATTTTGCTATAAGTGCATGACTGTAAGAGCGAGGGCTTCGGGATGAGTATCAACTATCTTAAAAATGTGAGCAATGAGAGATCCAGAATCATTCCATGCAGTAACAGCATGGGAGCTGGAATGTCAATGACAATGGAGCTGATTTGTAAAACAACGTGATTACTTGGGTTTAAATGGGTAACAAAACCTCAGTTTACCTTCCCAGGGGTTTTTATCAGCTTTCTAAATCTGCAGCTGCCCTCAGTGAATCTGGAAATAGCTGCTTGCTGAGATCTTTGCTCTTTGCCAGAAATATCATCCCTTGTCAGTGGTACAATATGAAACAGAGCATAAATTAGGGCTGGGATTAGGAGCACCATTCCCAGACCGACCCATTCCTGTTGCTTGCCCTTTCCACCTCCCACCTGAGTCCAAACACCCTCACCCTCCTGATGCCCCAGAGGTCTGAATTCAGGCCCCTGTGAACTAAAACAAACTCTCTCCTTCTACATCCATTTATTATGGATCAGGGATGTCCCTCACAAAGTCACTCTCATTTTCCCCCTGAATATTCCCCCCACAATATTCCAGGCCCTGGGACAGGAACATTTGTAAGTGTTCAAGCCTTGCCAGATGCAGGCTTTTATCCTTGCTCACATCTATGAACCGCTGTTCTGCATTTGCTGCCTTGATTTGATTGTACAAAACCCTGAGGCGTTTCCTACTGTTCCAGGGTTCTTTGATCCCATTTCTTGTTCCCACAGAAAATACTTTCCATAAGGGAGCAGCAGGGTGAGACGTGCTGGGAGAGCATATACGTACAGAGTGCAGCTGTTGAATGTCTGAACCAATACATATGTATTTATAAGAATATATATAAATACAGTTTCCAGAGGGTGGTTTCTGGTTTGACCCAAAAGGCAGTGTAGAATGCCAGTCTTATGGAATAAAGTTCAGTGCTAACACTGAGCTTGGGAACACAGAATGTAACACATTCATCAATGTTTGTAGAGCAGATTGCCTCCTGAGAGCCAGGGTGCTCCAGTACAGTGTTAACCTCTGTGAGGACATCAGTGCTACTACTTCTGTGCTTCATTCTCTGGGTTTCGGGGCAATTACTCTGGAATAGCTGCTGCTCTTTAGCTTGATCCCAGTAAGAAGATCCCAGGACCTGAGTTTTAAGCTTTGCTTCCCTCTAAACCAGACCACTGCTTGCAATCTGATGGGAGTACAAAGGTGTATTTCCTATATGTCAGAGGCAAGAGATGCTACGATGCTACTTCTGTGCAAGGTTTAAAATGGGCACTTCTCATTCCCAATGACACTTTAAGCCCTGATAACAAAAGGCACTGCTGTTATCTCCCGAGTGGAGTCTCCAGCTGTTGACTTCTAGATATTGCAGGCAACTACTCATTGCAAGCTCTGAATTCACAGGCATGACTGCTTTCCAGGTTATTGCTGGCCTCTCATCACATACGGATTCAGTCCTGATCTCACCCATGCGCCATACGCCCATGCCTGCCTTTTCCTGTGCTCTGACTCAATCACCACATTTGGGCCATACAACAGCAAAAGGGGAAAAACAGTAGCAAACCTAAACAGAGCTGCAAGAGATGGATTCTAACAACATTGCGGGTTCATGGGGCACAAAAATGTATTGGATCTGATTCCCATGGTGCTGACAGAGACGATACAGATTAAACAACACAAGTTTCTGTTGTCCAGCAGCTTCTAAATCCCTCCTTGCTGTCCATCAATTAAACAATACATGACATCAGTACTGGGTTTTATACAACCTATAATCAAGCAGCTCTGTAACTCCTGGCAAATGACAAAGTTAAATTACATCTTTGTGACTGAATTGGCATTTACTCACCAGGAGGTAGATGGAGAACTCACATCTGAAGAAACTCTGAGTTAACAAACAGGAAAACAAATGCTGAGGGATGGGAATGCAGTCCTGACATTTTCAGGGGTGAGTGATGAAATACTTAATAGCAAAAGATCTCAGGAGGTTAACAGTGTATTTTGGTTTACTTAATTTTCACATAACAAGCAACTGAATTGTGATACTGACACTGGAGAGTCCTCAGCCTTTTGAAAACAAAGCAGGGATTCAAGCATCATTTAGACAATCTACAATTCAAAGGCATTCAAAGATCAGTTGAAGTTTTCTTTACTGTTCCTCCAGCACAGACTGCAGGGAGGCAAGGGAAGATGAAGCCTCTAAACTGTAATCAGTTTTGCCACTATTTACCAGCTTACTCCTGACAGTGTGCTGGGGAAGGCATTGAGGCCTGCGAATAGGATAAAGTTGCTTTACACAGGGAACAGTCTTACACCATATACCTCAAAGAAGAGAGAGTTCACCACACTGCTTCATTGTTGAATCTCATGGCTAACTATGGGCATTGCTTAAAAACAACCCAAAATCCTGTCTTTTGTTTCTACTTTGAACCAATCAGACTTGAGTTTGCCTGGTGCAAAGTTTCAGCACACTCAACAAAACACTTTGTCACCAGGCTTAGCAGCCCTGTTAGAAAACAACTCCCACTTGCTACCAGACACATCAGCCACTGGTATTAATAATGACAGCAATATCCCTGAATATTGAAAGCCTAGAAGAAAAGAATACATTCTAGTATTCCGTGGGGAGGAACATGATTCAGCAAGGACTCAGAGAACATGCAGGTTTTTTACACCCTACACAGTATTTCAGTAGCTCAAGGTTTAGACACACTGATCATGACTTACGCTGCTCTGGAAGTTGAATAAACTGTCGGCATAAATCAGAAGAAGCTCCAAATTATTTCTAGCTCTGTTACATGTTGCTTTCATTGACTGTCAGCTCCAGCCTCAGCCCTCCTACTGACAGTATTTCTTTCTATTGACATTTGTGCTGGTTTATTCATAGGATAACACACAGGTGTAACGAAGCCTGCAGACAGAGCTTTAGCAGATGTTGTGAAACATCACAACCAAATGCAAAGCAGAGCAAAACTACTGTCCTAAAGGCCAGCATACTCACTACTGAAAGAAAGTGTTAAAGACAGTGTGTGATGGGGTCTACAGATAGCAACGTGTGTATGCTGTTAAAGCTACTTGGTTTTATGCTGTTAAAGCTACTTGGTTTTATGCTGTTAGAGCTACTTGCTTTTCTTCTCACTGTGTGTTGTTCCAAGGCAACAGCTCTCTACTCTGATGAACCAAAAAAGGTTACATCAATAAATTAGCATGCAGATCCCCACCCCAAAAAGAGAGCAAGAGACAGACTCTGACACTGGCCATTTTCTATTTATAACAGATGTTGGCAAGGCACTAGCATTCCATTGAGTGAGACACAAGTTGCAGCAAACAGGAATTGTTATTGTTTACCCATTTTTACACTCAGCCTCACACAGCTGATTCCCTAAACTGCGATTTGTTCCACCTTTTATCTTAGCACAGAATGGGAAAGTGGTGGATACGCTGCAATTAAATGAGGAAGCAAAGAATAAAAGGAGCAGGATTTGGGTATTTAGAAGTCTTTTGCTATTTTTCATCTGCCAATGACTTCAGCCAGAAAGTTCTTTGAGAAAGTTGTTTAGTTGTTTTTCACTAAAGGAAAGCAGCATTTATTTGCTGTGAAAAACAGTCTAGCTTGTGGCTAAGCCTGCTCACTCGTGCTTAACTGCAAAACAGCGTTCGCTTTCTTCAGCACAACAGTTTGGGTCTTAAGAACTGGTTGATATTGAAACTAATAGTGAAACTGCTCTACTTAGCTACTCAGAGCCATCACAGGGGGAATGAGACTCATGCTTGATGCCCAGGTTGTAACTGGCGTTGGAATAGGAGCTTCCAAGACAAAAACTGTGGTGTGTTGTGCTCTGCCTTGGGGTATTCTGACCCAGTCTCACTTCTCTGCTGCTCCACCACATACCTGGGTCTACAGGGACCTCTGTTCCACCCTACACAAGATGGCCTAGGTATTAGGGGACCTCTCCCAAGCCAGAGAGAATTGAAATACCTCTCACCCCACCACATCTCCTATTTCTTCCCTGACAGCAGCATATCCTCTGTGCCCACCAGCTCCACTCACAGAGCCATGGTAAGCAGACATGGCTTCACATTTCACAGGGAGACCGTGTTCAGCAAAATGAGCGAGTCATAAATCATGCTGCACTATTTGTGTCTCTGGTGCAGGCAATATTTTGATACATTCTCACACAAGCAAAACCAGCCTGGGAATTCCTCGCTGCCTTTTACCACTTGACAGCATTTGCTGCACTTGCTGGAGCTTTGGTTGACAAAGATGGGAAGAGAAAGATTGGAAGCGAAGTTCAGCCGCTCTCAGAATTCAATTAGAACACCCTCTGATTGCATTATCAGCTTTTCCTCAGTCAGGGGATGTCCAACAAGCAGATCAATCTCTGTAAAGCTTAGGAGCTGCTTAGAGATGTAGTTACATTGCAGAGGGTGATAAATGTATCGATGCCCAAAGCTTCCATAGGATTTCTTGCAACATGCAAATGCTTACGTTTTCCAGGGGAAAGGAGGAAGACAAGCATTTGTCAGTGCTAAAAGTCCTGCTTACTATAAACTTGACTATAAATCCAAACAAAGCCAGTTGTATTTCCTGAGAAATTATTTTTCTTCCTGTGCCCAAACTAATCCTGACATTGGGATGACCAAAACACTTCTTTTTTCCCCCCCTTTCTTTTAAGGGAGGCAAGAAACAGCCTTTCCCCTTGACAGCATATGGGAAATAGTCTTCTCTTTCTCTGGTTCTAGATTAATTTTGCAAAACCGGTCTTAGAAGTGCTGTTATCACTTAGTGTCTGAAATGGTGCGATTTTCTTGCCATTTGCAACCCCTTTTGATGACCTCCTAGATATGACTGTTATTTGGCTAGCTAATCTTGAATTAAAGAGTCCCAGAGGAAGCAATTTTCCTCTGTGAGTTGTTATCAGTCCTCTCGCCTGCCTCTCTGGCTGTAACTGGGAATACAGTGCCTGTATAATAAATGAGATGAACTGATTTCTGACAGAACATCCATGTAATTGTATGACACTATATTCTGAAAGACTTATTCCTGCAGGAATTGGGCTTTGAGTCATAAATTTTCCAAGCCAGAAGAGATCCTTATTTATTTTTTCCCAGTGTTTCTTTGGTTACCTGCAGTTTCTCACTGCCTCTGCCTTAACACTCTCTGTATTTTCCATTTTAGGTTCTTTCTTTCCTGCAATCAAACCCCCGGACACACTTTTTAAAATAACATTTTGGCTTGGCTATTTAAACAGCTGCATCAACCCCATCATCTATCCCTGCTCCAGTCAGGAGTTTAAGAAAGCCTTCCAAAACGTCTTGAGAGCACAGTGCCTCCAGAGGAAGCAAGCAACAAAGAAGCAGTCCCCAAGCTTCAACCTCAACCATGCCACTGGCCAAAGCACAGAAAGTGGCAAAGGTGTGGTCCGGATCCCTGTTGGCTCAGGGGAAACCTTCTATAAGATTTCCAAGTCGGATGGGGTCTGTGAATGGAAGATCTTCTCGGCTGTGCAAAGCATGCCTGCCAAAACTGCAGTTTCTAAAGACTGTACTGTTGCCAAAGTGAAAAGTAAAGGTTTCCTCCAGGAATGCTGCTGTGCAGGCACTTCAAGGAACCTCGTCCATGAAAACTGTAAAGTGCCAACCATTAAAATACACACCATGTCCCTCAGTGAAAACGGGGAGGACGTCTAAAGGACTCAACATGTCCAGCAGCACGGGCTGCCAACTTGTGTTTCTGCTAATGGGATGTTGCTCTTTTAACTGGGAAGTAGAAGTAAATGCTACAATTGAAAGGATACAGGGGAAACAAATAACATACTGTAAAACAGGACCAAATCTTTTGAGGAGTGATGTCTTTGAGTGCTGGTAGCCTGAACAAAGCCCCTTAAAGATAGTGAATGGCTTCAGTGGATGGTGAGCACCCCTCAGTCTTCCGAGAGTCTGGCCCCTGCAAGTCACTTGCCAGGCATTTAAAGGCTTTATTTTTCACTGTATTCCCCTGTTTCAGAGTTCCTACTGCTATGATTTAAGTGTGGTGGGGGAGAAAGAGCAAACGACAAAGAGCCCGTGCTGATACTTTCAGACAGCTCCAAGTTTAGAGTCATTTTGTGATTCTGCACGCACACCCCTAAGCTAAACCTCAATTCACCAGCTGGCATAGCTGAGGTTGGGTGTTAGGCTCAGGTCTTGGGACAGTGTTTACAGATCTCTGCTTACTTAAGATCTCTATTATTACAGGTCTCTTAATGTAATGCTTACATTAAGGGACTGTGGACAACAATGTTTTCCTACCATGTCTTGCTTCTTAGCGAGGCTGTTGGTGATGTCCCGCACGCCTTGCTGAAGACAACAGGCAGCTCTTTGGATTTGCATCTTCAGCTGGGTGGCCTCTTAGGTCCTCATTCCTGGGCTGCACCAGGTAGGGAACTGGTCTTCTGTAATGCCCGCGAGGCTGCTTGTCCTCAACCTGTCTGGAAAGAACAGTCACTTCAGCTCACAGGGCATAGCAAAACCACTCTCTTGGCTCTTGCCCTGCTTGGAGTGGCTCTGAGTTTCCCTTTGTGCTGTGGGTTTTGGTAAACTCCATTGCCAAGGGAAACTTGATCCAAGTGGATGCACTCCACCTCCCCTCAAAGCCCAAGCAGAACTTTGCTTTTTTGTGCAACCAACTTCCCAAATCTCCAAACAAACTGAAATGGAAACTTGCATGCATCCCAGGTTTGTTTGGAAGGTCTCTGTGCTCAGATGCAGGTCTAATAACATTCAAAACTAGGGAAGCATCATCAAATAAGGCTCAAAGAGGTCACTTTGACTCATCCATTTGTTTTCCTTGTTCTGAGTCCAGCAGGGACTCAATCATTCCTTGCTCAGGTGCTTGCTAGTCAGATCAGTGCCACAGCCACTGGAAAAGCTGCAGACATTTTGCTGTCTCCCTGCCCAGTGTTATGCTACATTCCTTTTCTGATTCCTTCAATACCAAGTGCTCTAAGCTTTCTATGAGATCCTGGGCACCCTGGAGTCAGGAACTTTACCCTCTTTCTGAGCAGTGGGAGTTAAGCAAGTTAAATGTCTTAATGATGTACATCCCCATGAGAAAGGGCCATCCTTTGGGAATTTGGGAGGAAAGCATTTGGAAGCATGTTATATTTTAATACAGCTAATCCAAATAAATAAATAAATGAGCTGTGCAGCATCTGGAAGAAATAGTGGGAGGAATTCTCTGTACAATATTAGAAATAAGCAGCTCTTGACATAACTCCTCCTGAGCCTGCCAAGTAAGAATGCAGCTTCTTGAAACAACACATAAGCCTTTGCTCATGTCTCAGTGTCAGCTCCTGTGCTGAGTACCTGCTGGCTTGCAAAGGGAAATGGCTTGAGATAAGGTTAGCTTTTACAGGGTAGGGCCTTGAAAGGATACCTTGATTATTGATGAGAAATCACTGTTTATTCATCTCTCATTCAGTATCAATTCCCCAATGTCAAGAGAATTTCAGTCTTCTGTATCTGTTATTTCTGCATGAATGAGGTTTCTCCCCTCCTGCAAGCCCATATCTGCAGCTGGAACATTATCAGAAAATTGTCAAAGTAAAACCTGATCCTTGAAGTTCTTACAATACTGCTGCTTTGCACAGTCCTGGAAGCAGAAAGCAACCTCAGAGGGTAAATACACTTCACATCTATACATGGCCAGGATGCTAATCAAGCAGTACCCTTGTAAATACATGTGGAGCTCAAAGTGGAAGAAGAAAGCAGTTGGAGCTACATCTGTGTTTTGTGAGGCAGAACAAGCCACTTCGTTTCCCCCCTGCATTTGGCCCCATTCACAATGCATTAATATTATCATGTAATATCAGTACACCTGGAATCCAAAGTGCCCATTTCCAGACCCTGCCACCTTGCAGGATGCAAAGTAAAACCTGTAAAAGTAAGAATCATGTCTCTGGGCATATTTTAGCAGTATGGACTCAGACAACACCCTTGATGGATCTATAGAAGAAAACAAGAAAGGTGTAAAAGACCTGCTAAACCAGCATCTTTTTTTCTGCTGTAATAACTAAGAACACTTCAGCTGAAGAAAATAGTTCTTCATTCTGCCTCAGGAATGCTGCATAAGAAAGGTACAGAATGTCCCGAACAGGTTAAAATTAGAGAAGAATACAAATCAAATCCCTGGAACCAAACCCTCATTTATTTCCAAGAGCATGCACTCATGGGCAGCAAACCTATAGCCTCATCCTATTTTCAATTTAAATAAGAAACCCACCCCACTCTTAAAGCTCTTCTCAGATTTTCTTCTCAGTAAAGTCTAGAATTTGAAGCTAAAAGTGTTGAAACACCATGAAAAAAATCTTCTCATGGTACTTCCAGCCAAGACCAGCAGCAGCAAAGCTGGAAATCTCATAAGAAAGTCACATGAGGCTGGTGGCCGAGGTTTTCAGTCTCCTGAGGTTCAAATACGTGGGACGTTTGTTGCAACAAAACCTGAACTCTGGAACCTTTGGAAAAACACCCGTTAAATTGAGCAAGACCAGCAAGATTGAAGATCTTCACTGCACACGCTTGCTGCCCAGCCCTATCTGTACACTTACTTTATAACTTGAACCAACAGGGTCATTTGTGCCATCTCTCCTTTGGGGCTGGGAGATTTACAAAGGGTCTCTTCAGTCATTTGAAATCTGTTGAGGTTTCATGGTGTCAGGTAAGGGGTTGTTGTGAAGCTGTGCATAGGCTGGCACAAATGTATTAGTTGTCCAATTCCCAATAAATCCTGATGTAGCAATATAATCTGAATCTGAAAGATGAAAAGCATGCTGGTGGCAATGTCTGGTTAGACATGATAGTCACCCTTGGAGCACAGTACTCCTGCCTGTGAGAGACAAAGGGTAGAATAATGAAGTCTTGGTGTCATCTTCATCCTTTCTGTCACCAAACAGATGCTAAAAGACCTCTCCCTGTGCAGTGGCTTTAGAAAGCCTCCAGAGCTCAGCATCGGGCAAGGCTGGTCCCAGCCACACCACTGCTTCTGTCACCTTTGCCAGCAAAAACAAACACAAATTTGTTTGGCTCACTCAGAGAATTTCTGCATGAAAACCACCCTGTTCCCTTATTGCAAGCAGGGTCATAGGCACTTGTCAGTCTTTGGTTCCAAAAATGTTGTATTTTCCTTCTGTCTGCTGCAGCATTTTGCCTGCATGTTGTACAAGTTTGGCTGCCAGTGGTTTTTAAAGGTGTTTCTTGGAATGGGCACTGCATTTTCTGAGCACGGTATTCTGATGTCATGGAAAATGGGCTGGTTTTAAAGGCCCGCTGCTTGTTGCGCAACATGTTTGAACAGTCATGCTGGTCATCTTCTTGAACAAAACTGAATGTATATGAAATATTGCTGGTGAACAAATAAATTATTGGGGGAAATGTGCACTTTGTGACATGTGGGCTGCAAGTCTGTTTGCAACGTTAGTTGGGTTTTCTTCCCCACAAGTATTTACACAAACGTGATTTCTCCCCTTCAACAAAGATTTAGAGGTTCCAATACTGTGATATTTGGTGGACTTTAGTGGGAATTCAAGGAAAATCATAGAATCATGGAATGATCCGGGTTGGAAAGGACCTTAAGGTCATCCAGTTCCAACCCCCTGCCATGGGCAGGGACACCTCACACCAGACCATGTCACCCAAGGCTCTGTCCAGCCTGGCCTTGAGCACTGCAATGGATGGAGAATAAAGGAATCAAATTGTACTTCTGCTGGAGAACTCTTAAAGCTCTTAACAATTTCTAAAAGGAGACTGAAAAATCCATTTGGTCTCCAGATCATGCCCACGTTTATTCCATTTGCTTACAGTAAAACATCATGTCCCGAACAAAATCCAGCCCATTTTGCTGTATTCTTTATAAATAAATACTAAAAAGACAACTCCTGTCAACCCAAGTATGTAAATAATCTTTGGGGAAAACAGTGCTGAATTACTGTTTTCCTTGATTTACAGAGGGAGCTCTGGCAGAGCCTGCCAAAGCCTGCTGGGCATTCTTGGAAGGCAGATGCCATGGCCCTATCAGTCTCAGAAACACCAGCAGAAAATGCTTGCAAATAACTGAGAAGGCCAAGGAAATGTTAAGACTGACATGGCAAAACTAACCTTTCACATGAAGCTTTTTGGTCAGCACAGTGAGCTAACAGTGTGGTCTTACCTTTGTTTTATACAGCCAAGGATCCCCAGTTCCTTTTGGATAAATTCTGTTTGCTCCAACAGAACAAACCCTGCTCTTAAGGTTTTTGGTGAAGAGTAGGTTGTGAGCAACTTGTCAGTGGGGTACAGGTCCAGCTCCTGGGACTGGTTAATGCTGGAGACGTGAGAGCCAGTAAAGCAATATGCAGATGGAGTTGTTACAGTGCTTTGCTGCTGCTTGTCTTCTGCCACCTTCTCCCATAAACTACGGGAGCATTAAGAAATGCATTAGCCTAATTGCTGTCATTAATCTAACTAGAGTCATATAATCTTAATTTGTACTGAGGTTAATTTTTGTTTAGGAAAAAAATGGCTGGAGCTCTGTTTAATGTAGCTATGGATGCCTTTCAAACCAGCTATTCTACTCCAAATGATGAATTAGGGGTATAATTTCCTTTCAGGTTTTGAAAATTAACATCTCATTACTCTTAACCTAAAGGATATTAGCACTTCTTATGAAAGCGAGTAACACTGATCTAAATTTAGAAGAGAGATCTCAGTAAATGGCTGGGATTATTCAAAGACAAAAGAATCGAACCACAGGAATAAAAAACACATTTAAAATAAAATCAGAGTCATCTTTTTAAGATAACCAAAGCAAAAGGAAGCTGCCTCTTTCAGATCTCAACTGGTCTATTACCCAGCAGTTTCCAACCCTGCAGCATGAGAACAGCTCAGGATAAGCAGCATGCTGCAGCAGTGGGATTTCCATTCTTTACAGACCACTAAGATCTCTTTGAAGAAACTGAGTCAATTTCTATCTTTTTGCTTCATTTAAAAATCAGAAACTGGATGTATTTTTCTGTTGGTGAGAGCAAAACGCCATCAAGACACATTACCAAGCAACATGATAAATTCTTCATCTCTGAAAGACTTAATAAGATTAAATGAGTGTCTGAAGAACGTGATAGTTCAGCCTCAAACTCTTGGGTCTGACTGCGGAACAAATCAGGGAACTATCCAAAGAATCATAGTTTAAAAAAGACTT